AAGTTCAGTACTTCTATGACTCTCCTGTTTCCTGCAGGGCCAAGTGATGCTCCACCGGTAAAACCCAGCAGTCCTGAATGTATTAAAGCAAGGAGATATAATGTCTTTTTATTAGGCTTTAGAAGAGTTTGTAAGTGGATTTTGTTCCCTTTGTACAGGCTATCTGTTACCACCGGATTCCACTATTTATGCTAAGCTAAGCTAACCATCAGCTGGTGGCAGCACCATATTCAACATGCAGGCATGAGACTGATGTTCTTATCTAACTCTATAAAGTTCTTTTAAAACTCCCAAAACCATTCATCCATCCATCATCTATACATCCTCACTAGGGTGGTGGGGGGCTGGAGTCTATCCCAGCTGACTCAGAGTGAAGGCAGGGGACACCCTGGACAGGTCGCCAGTCTATCACAGGGCTACACTTAGAGACAGACAACCAAGCACACTCACATTCACATCTACGGACAATTTAGAATCACCAATTAACCTCAACATGTTTTTGGACTGTGTGGGAGGAAGCCGGAGAACCTGGAGAGAACCCCCGCTGCACAGGGAGAACATGCAAACTCCACACAGGATGATGGACCTTCTAGCTGGGAGGCCACGATGCTAACCACTGAGCCACCTCACAGCCCCACTCCCAAAACCAGTCTTGTTTTAAAGCCTTGACTTGTCAGTTTAGTACTGTATGTTACATACTCCTGAATTAATCTATATTTAAATAACCAGACTAAAAAATCTGATCCGGTGACCATAGTAGGTTATATTTTCAAGTTGGCACTGTATAATTTCCTTCCTCTAGCAGCACCAAGAGGCTGAAAGCTTCCCCTGTAGACAAATAAATGAACATGTGGTTAATACAAATTACAATTTTAAGGTTTAGGGTTTATCCTTTATGGTTCTATGTTGGTCTAGTGTTAGTGATCAGTGGAAAACGATTCATAAAAACACTGTGAATTATTGTCAGCAGCAGCAGCAGTGTCAGGCGTGGAAATCCATATGGACAGCAGTAAAGGCTGTGTTTCCTCCCACTCTTGCTCGCTGTGTACAGTTCCTGTAGAAAAAGTAGCATCAGAGCGTCCGACTGTATGTTCTCCATAACAACAGCATCATCAGCCACGGTGCGTGCTGCTATTCTGTTTCCCATTCGGGCCCGTGTCATTTTCTCCAGCAGGGTTGAGGTGAATTGAGAATGAGTCACTGTTGAACGTTGCATAAAGAGTCTGATCTCGTCCCCCTTCGCTGCTGGATGCTGCTCTGACGCACTTCTCCTTGATATGCGCTATTGTTTGTGCAAATCGCTCACATTTGGAGAAACCTGACTCACGGCGAGAGTCGTCCAGAAAACGTGGGATCATCTGAATCCCTCCACCTCTAGGTCGTGCTGTCCCTTTCATGTCGTTGCTGACACGTGGAGGAGTTTGGGAGCTTCAGAGTGTCCTGATGTCTAATGTCATCGCATCTACACACACTGTTAACGTCTCAGAACGGTGGCACCTCATTTTCTGTGTGTGTTGGGGTCATATTGTCCACAGCATGTTCATTAGCTACAACTATTACCTCCTCTGCAGTATACGCACTAGTTTCTCCAGTATGGCCCTGAACAAAAGGAGACTTTTTGTGCTTCCAAAAGGCCAAAACCTGCAGAGGATTTTCTCTCCTTGAAGACTTTGGGTTTGACTGAACAGTACTGTGGGGACTGATGAGGTTTAAAGTTGTTTCCCTCTTTTCTTTACGTCCTTCATAAATGCATCGACGTATTCCTGTGCATGGAGTGCTGCAGACAGTGTTTAAGTCCACGGAGTCTCTGGTGTGTTTGTTAAAGATTGTAATTGGATGATGTTGGTCTCCATCATGGTTTCCTCCTTCGTTAGGTTTCAGGGTGCAGCTGAAGCAGCTGACCGAGGTGGACAAAACCTCCTTCAGAGCAGCCAGCCTCTGTACTAACTGACTTTGACCCTCTTCAGGATTCATGGGGTGTTTCTGACGCTGTGATTCCTTCTCTTCACTCATACATCCTTCACAGCTAGGCACTGACATTTCAGTCTCATTAGGTTTGTAGTTTGAGGCGTTTTTTCTGCACACGTCAAAGCTTCTGGTTTCGATCTTTGACCTTTCCAGCTGAAGCGGTTGAGAGCCAGTCGGCTTTTCCCTTGAATATATTCTTAAGAACGCTGCATCCACTTTGAGCTTCTTTCGTTGACATGGGTCATTTAAGATTGCACAAATGTTTTCCTGAAAATAAAAGAGCATTTTATTAAGCATGAGTTCCCCTCAAGTGCAAAAAAAAAGACCCACATGTCTACTTTGGAGGTTTAACGCGATGATGCACCATCAGTGAGTCAATCTGTGATGTCCATATGCTACAGTAAAATCTATTTTTTTGTGGATATCATTAAGACCACCCATGAAGAAATCACATCATTTGCATCTCTGAGGATATTTAACTAGTGTGACCAAACATACACGTTTTAAATCTGGACTTCTTGCATCATTTAGCATATTTCAGCCAAACATGTTATATGTATAAAATTGTTCCTTACCTGCCTTTAATGTCTGCTGCTTCCTCTTATTCCTCTCCACGACACTGAAAGTGTCACGTCTCTGAATGTGCGTCTGCACTTCAGACGCTCACCAGATCTCTAACAGCAACATGGCACATTCGTTTCCATAGTGACGCAATAACTGACGTGTTGGACCGTGAGAGAGAACTGCCATCCACTCTCATGCCAGTAAGCAATCACTCTTGAACAAATAAGAACAGGATATTTAACCAAACTGAAGCATGATTGTATTTTGAATTGTTGATTAGTGCAGATTTTGTCATTTATTTGCAATTTAAAAATGGGTTTAGCGAAAAGAAATGGTTTTATCCTATTAAATAAAACCACCAGCAGTCATCACTACGATATGAACAAAGGAACAGGTTTGATAAATGCAAAAATCTAATACATGTCATTGTTAGACGTCATCTTTCTGGAACTTTCTACAGGTTTAAACAGCTGTGCAAAAGGAAACATATTGAGAACATTACCAAGAATGGCCTACATTGTTGGCATTGTTTTTGTTCCCTTATGTACATGTTTAAAATTTTTTTTTTACTATTTATTTTGTAGTTTCTTTTACCCACATGCAAGACTGGCTGAGAGAAGGGGAGTGAGGCACTTGGAAGGGACAAAAGTCTTGTGAAGAAAAGCCACAACATACGTATTACACTTCCATCCATCCATCCATTATCTATACACCGCTTAATCCTCACTAGGGTCACGGGGGGACTGGAGTCTATCCCAGCCGACTTTGGACAAAGGCAGGGGACACCTGGACAGGTCACCAGTCTATTGCAGGGCCACAGCGTGGCAGTGTGGGTTCTCTCCGGGTTCTCCAGCTTCCTCCCACACAGTCCAAAAACATGTTGAGGTTAATTGGTGATTCTAAATTGTCCGTAGGTGTGAATGTGAGTGTGCCTGGTTGTCTGTCTGTAAGTGTAGCCCTGTGATAGACTGGTGACCTGTCCAGGGTGTCCTCTGCCTTCACCCTGAGTCAGCTGGGATAGACTCCAGCCCCCCACGACCCTAGTGAGGATTAAGCGGTGTATAGATAATGGATGGATGGATGGATTTACATTGGTGTTAATACTATTATACTTACTATTATTACACCGTGCTGCGGTTCTAACGGTTTGTTTCTTTGTCTACTCCTTTTTCTTTCTTAACTGATGTGTGCTACTGTCTCCATCGGTGTTGTGTTGTTTCTAGAACAATTTCCCTGAAGTACCCAACCAGAGGGATCAATAAAGTTCTATCTAATCTAATCTAATCTAAAAGTATAATAAAATTTTTAAAAATACCTAATTTCTCAAAGAAAAGAGTTGATCTGCAGCATTCCATTGAAAAGCCTTTAATTGAACTGTTCTGACAGATAAGTTGAAACCACATCGTGACAGCTCAGCTTTACAGCAATGCTGATTTCTTTCAGTGATGTTAGACAGCATCAGAAGTAGACAGTTTAAAAGCAGGTCGGGCAAAAGGGGACATTAGAAAAAGGCAATTAGACGAGATCGCTTAAAAAATTATATAAAAAAGACGTAGTTAGGCAGCATTATTTTCACATTAAGACGTATTTAGACAGACAGTAATATCTGATTCTGGTTACAGTGAAACGAAAGACATTCTTCTGGTGTAGTGTTCACAAAATATACACAAGCAGTTAATACACGACTCCGTTAACTGTGTTTGTCAGTTTTGGGGGTTTGGAGAAGTAAAAATGTGTAAATTCAGCAATGGAATGGAAGAATGTGTCAGCAGGGCACTTCTCTCTCGCAGAAAGTCATACATGATTTACTCATTATCAGCCTTCTGGGAAAAGCCAATCGATTATTTACAGATGTCAAAACAACAAACAAAGACAGCACCGGCAGATGAGCTCGATTCACGTCCAGTTATTATCAGCTCAGTGGGGCGTGATGGACGACGTCTGTACAACGAGAGAGAAAAGAAGCAGAAAGAGTTATGACGTGTCGCTGCCAGCTCCTGTGTCAGACATGTACAGTACGTCTAACTACCTTCCTCACCATCACACAGCGCTGCCACCTTGTTTTTGTTCCTCTTTAGAAAAGCCCGTTGACCTGCTCTGTCTCAGGGTCCAGGTCAATATCATAGAAACAAGGCCGGGTGGGCAGGCCGGGGATCGTTGGCATCTACAATGAATAGAGACAAAGAGAAAGAAGTTTTTATAAGTCATGCAAGAAAAACTTTGGCTAAACACACATGAAGCAAATGTTGAACCAATCTGACATTTAAATACCTTTTGTGCAAGTGAGCAACTGATTCAAACTATAAAACAAAAGAGTCAGATTTTCTGCTTCCTATGTGATGATTGGCTGTGTAGTATGTTTACATCAAAATAAAACATTTGGGGTTAGAGACTGTTGGTCCACCAAAACACACGTCCTCTTATTTCCTCAGTGCAACATGAGACATGCAGGATGAGTCACCCTGTATGTGGGTTACTCTACTGATGGACCTGGTCGATGATCCAGGGCTGGATTCACCACACGGGGCCAGTTTCCAGGAGGTCACAGCAAACACATCAGAGTACCACAGTAACAACACATTCTCATACACTAATAAATATTTATATATAAATGGTAGCTGTAGTGCTGGGTCAAAAAAGAGACACAGAAAACATCTCATAACTGAATCTATGTTTAAGTCACTAGAGTGCAGCATTTTTATTTTTTTTTTAAGTTATATTTTTTTGCCTTTATTCTATAGGACAGTGAAGAGAGAGAGAGGAAAGTGGGGGAGAAGAATGGGGTAGGGACTTGTAGCAAAGGGCCATGAGTGGGATTTGAACCCATGGCCGCTGCATCAGAGACTATGGCTCCTATACATGGGTGCCAGCTCAACCAGCTGAGCTACAGCAGCAGCCGGTGTGCAGCATTTTAAGAGTAAAAGGTATGTCTATATTCACATGTTTGGTCCATATTACCATGAAATGATCATGTCAGTGCCACAGAAAACCAAACACGAGAGCACTTTTAAGTTAATTGATTCTGAATCTCTGTTTTTCTAAATATGGGTTCTGCATTTGGTGCAAACAACAAGGTACACAACAAAACTAGAGCTGCTTGTTCTCAGTTTTTTGATTTCATATTTTTTTCCTTTTGGTCACAAAGCTGGTAAAACCACTGACCTTTCTACTATGAGAACATGCAAATAAACAAAAACACAAAGTTACTGCTTTGTTTCACAGCTCAGAGTACGTGCTGTCATACGATCATGAATGAATCCAGCCTGCTCATTTAGGTCAGAGGTCACTGTAGAATATACACACACTGGTTGCACTGATTACAACAGGGTTTTTGCAGCAAAGCTGACAACTCACTGATGTTTTTTGAGTTTTTAGTCTTACACTGCTCAATAACAAAGACAAATATGAGCACAGCAAACCAAACTGTGTACTTCGTGATGTGGTTTGATGGTGCGCAGCACTGAAGAGTCACACTGTGATGTCTTTCAGACGTGAATCTGTGGTTGCTGAAAGGAAATGAGCTGCTCAGTCGGCAAAAATGTGAGCTTACCGTGCCAACCAGCGGGTACAGGAAGCCAGCGCCCACACTGGCTCGGATGTCTCTGATTGGCAGGACGAACCCGGTGGGAACGCCCTTCTTGTCTGCTTCGTGAGAGAGCGACAGGTGGGTCTTTGCCATGCATATCGGAAGGTTGCCAAAACCCTGAGGGGAGAAGCGAAAAGGATTACTGAAGGATTCTTTGTGGAGTCATGAGTTACTCTGCAGACAGCAGAGGGCTGGTCTACGAAGCAAGTTCAACATGGCCAGCCTTTCTTTGTGTAAGGCGGCTTGACGAAATCTAAAGCCCCAGTTAGAGGTCACGTGTATCATGAAGGTGGTTCAGCTTTCTTTGTCAACTCAGACTTTCTGCTTCAGACTCCATTCACATAAAAAAGGAGGCGTTTAACGTGTCATGTGACTTTTCTTCTGCACTAAATGAATCGATCAATGTGCAGCTGCTTCAGTCTACAGGTTGTTTTAATGGAGAATAATAAAGAATATTAAAAAAAGTATGATGGTAAAAAGTGCCGCTACTGCAAATGGTGCCAGGCAGAATGCTGGTAGAAAACTGTTAAACATGTTAACATATATTTTACTGATGCAGCTGCTTGTTTCCAACTGACAGCTGCACGTTAAAGTTAAACTTTAGACTTAATAGATTTAAACATGATCTTGTATTGAAGTACATTTAGGTCTGACACTGTCCCATAATGCAGGATATCACTTTCATTTTCGTCCAAATCAAATCGAAATTAATGTTACTGACTGAATATTCTCTGTAATAAATACCATCAGAATAATCAATTTTCTAATCTGTGTTCTATCAGCTGCAGAATAAACGGACCTGACAGCAAATCAGAGCCAAACATAAGAACATATTTATGTGATTTCTGCATCACCAACTAAACACGTCAGGTTCCCATGGCAACTCGATGCGTACAGTGTGTGATGCTGTAACTACACGTCTTCATTCAGTGATATTAGGAACTCACAACTCAGCATGTTAGCAGATAAAACACACTGAGAATCTGTACCGCTCATAAATAATAGTCAGGAAATGATCTGGTTAAAGGGAGACGCTCCCTCTAGCTGATTTAAACCCTAAACTCTGAACATAACCTGCTCCCGACCAGGTTAGCTCCACAGCATCCGGTACCAAGGCGGTCTAGCAGGTAAACAGAGACCCACCTTCATGACACTGAAAACTCTGGTTTTAAGGTCAACATACCTCGCTAACCCACTAATCTCGTTTCGTAGTACAGCCCCCAGCAAACAGGTCTGACAAGAAAGAAAACAAACAACTCTGAGGGACGCTGACCTGTTTGGTGTAGAGCTCCACCTTGTGTTGGGCCTCTGGGAGGAGCTCGATGTCATCCGCTCCGTAGATCTTCTGAGCGATTATGCGAATCTTATCGGCAATAGGGAGCTAAAGAAACACAATTAGAGAGAAACACAGACATTTCCAAACCATCTTTCCATAGAGTAAGATTTCAACAAAAACAAATAACAACAACGGAGTGATGGAGTGTAGCAATGAGGAGCCCGTACCTCTAGATTGTAGAGGAATTTGAAGCTGTTGGGAGCGTCACTGGCTCTCTGGACAGCCTGACCAAGAGCCACAGCACCAGCTCCGCCATCGGCCCAGTGGGAGCATCGGACAGCATCGAAGGCGCCACCATCTTTGGCCATGCTGCAGACCAAGTCCAGCTCAGCCTCAGAGTCTGTCCTGCAAGAAAAGATTAACAAATGCAGCGTTAGCTAAAGTTAAAATAAAAAAAACACATTTCCCACATCTATACATGTGGTTATAGAAACATTTTCAGTCCTCATCCATCACGTACTTGAAAGCGTTGACAGCCACCACCACAGGCACGCCAAAGTGCTTCGCGTTTTCTATCTGCTTCCTCATGTTGCTGCAGCCGTTCCTCAGCAGTTCAAGGTTCTACACAGAGGTACACATATACATCGGAAAAGTTTAAATGCAGACAAAGCTTTAAAAGGTGAAAACCCTTTAAAACCCTCTAAACCACAAATCTAGGTGGGTTTGAGAGTCGAGTTATCTTCCAAAACAACAACAACTGCCAAAATTACAATATTTCTTAAAGCCAGAAGCTGTAAAAACAGAAAGAATTGTGGATTTCCAACTTTCTGACAGTCCTTAAACTAATCACCTGTGATGTGCTTGTTCTGTTGCAAAACTGAACCAAATTTTAAAAATAATCATATTTCAACAAAATCCCTTTATTCTACAGATCTCATTTAAAAATCTGCTAAAAAAAAATAAAACTATTTGCAAAACTTCAATGCTGTAAAAACCACTGATGTAAATATGAAGCCACAACTGATTCAGCCATCACAGGACTAATTTCAGGAACTTTTTGGCTGAAGTGGGCTGAACTGCAGGCAGTGTTTACACAGAGCAGAGAGGAAAGAAGTATGGAAACAAATGTAAAGTAGTAAAATATCTGTATTATGTAGAGTTAACTATCTAGAAACTGTTTGGAGTTCAGAGGGTTAACCAAGTGAGCAGACATATGTAGCTGCAGCTCATTAAAAGATTCTTATCAGTTAAAGTGAAGATGACATTTTGACCGGCTGCTCTTTTGCTTTACCTCCTCCACGTATTCTTTAGGCAGCGGCATCCCAGCAGTGACCTGAACAAAAGACACAGAATAAACCCAATAATTAACTCAATAAACCTTAAATTCACACTGACTATTTGTTTACTTTCACTAAACTTGTTCATACTTCATGATTAGTAGGAAGCTAATCGGGAAGACGGTGAAACGTTATTCTGTTCACAGGAGATATATAATTGTGATTGTGTGGATGTTGAAGTTGTGTTTCAGGATTCAGATTTCAGAAATGTGCTCGTGTAAAATAATTCACAAATGATTTTTTTTTCATTTTAGTATTTGGGTGGCGGGAAAACTCACCGTTGGTCCTCCTCCGTGCATCTTCAGGGCTCGAACAGTAGCCACCAGCACCACCACGTGAGGCCTCAGTCCTGAGTAGCGGCACTTGATATTGAAGAACTTCTCCATGCCAATGTCAGCACCAAAACCAGCCTCTGTCACTGTTGGACACATCACGAGGTGGTGTGATTTCAGAAAGATTATTCACAGAATAGAACAGTAAAGAATACTGAGTAAAGTCATTCTGCTCGTACAAGCAACACATACAACATAAGTCAAGTGTTTACTGAAGCTGTGCAGGACTAGATCAGGCTTGAAAAAGTTTAAAAATCTGTGAAAACACGCTGAGATAGAACCCATTTCCCAGTTCCACTTACCTACAAAGCCGTCGGGTCCAACCAGCTTCAGAGCGATCTTATCAGCCAGGATGGAGGAGTTTCCATGGGCGATGTTGGCGAAGGGGCCGGCATGGACAAACACAGGGGTTCCCTGTGGAGTCGGATGATTCACATGTTACAAAACCCATAATGCAAAGCTATGTCATCACTCACCAAGTCAAGTTTGAGTCATGGAAGATTTAGCAAAGAAAACAGACCAACTTGAAAGCAAGCAATGAGGACAATATCTATTAGTATAGAACACATGCTCATGTTCAGGTTGTCAGCGCTCTCACACGGTGTGAAAACTGTAGGTTAGTGTGAGCACCCACCTCCAACGTCTGCATCAGGTTTGGCTTGATGGCGTCTTTCATGAGCACAGCCAGAGCTCCACTGACACCCTGCAGAGAAAAACATCACTTTACAGGGACCTCGTTTCCACAAAATGAAGAAGGTCCCGTCATGAAGGAGAGTCCGGAGCACTGACCAGGTCCTCGGTGGTGATGGGCTGTCCGCTGCTGCTGGTGGCTACAACCATCTTGGCCAGACGCTGTCGCATGTCCTCCAGGCTGCTGGTGAGGGCGAGCACCGCCATGATTTCACTGGCCACGGTGATGTCAAACTGAGCCTGGAGGACAGATCGTGATGAAGAGCAGAATGCCAGAAACTCCTACGGCCTTGATCTTTCTCTACCGTGCACTCCAATGCATGAATTGATTATGTGTTACATTATATGAAAACAGAGCTTCAATCAAACTGCAGATTTTTGATACCAAACTGGGAAATGTATAATGTTACACATAATATGTTTACCTCTCTTGTGTATCCCTTTTCAGTTGGCGCCTGGCCGATCGTGATCTTCCTCAGGAATCGATCGTTGGTATCCAACACTGAAGGGAAACACAGAGCGCATTTGTCACGGGGCAGGATTCAGAACACTCACAGCAGACCTCCTTGGGGAGCACAGCATGAGTTATGTGGAGTCAGAGACATGTCAGATGTCCATACCTCTCTGCCAGGTCACAGAGCTTTTGTCAATGTCCAAGCGGGCGAAGCGGGTGATCTCTTCTTCAGTGAGAGCGGAAGGATCCGTCTTCTCAATGCCCAGTTTCTGTACAAACAAAGACAGCATCAGTTTCAGACATTCTCTCTACTCTGGACTGTGATTTCAGTCAAAGCTTAAAAGTGTTTAATGTGATTTCATACTTTGAGTCTGTTGATCTGGATGGGAGAGAACTTCCTCTGTCCTCCACTGAGAGGGACCAAGCGGTTATACAGAGCCTGAGGATGCACAGAGGGAAGGACAATAAAGTTTATACCTGAAAAAACATCCTCAATGACAGTCAGGAACAGCTGCAAAACTGCAAAGGATAATAGAAAAAACTCAGGCTCTATAGATGAAAGACACTTGGGAGTATTTTGAGACAAACTAACTAAGCAGGCATGGGTGGGATTTGGAAAAAATAATAAAATAAAAAATGTTGCCACTGTAAATACCATCATTTTGAAAATGAGTTAATGACAACTGATGTTATTTAGCCTGTTGCCAAAATTCCCAACTGCAGTTCTGCCAGATTTGATAGAACACAAATGAAGCACATCGTCGTACTGGGTGATCTCTTAGGTGAATATGATGAACTTGGCAACCTTGGAAAAATGGTGCTGGTTGCATTTCTATACAAACACAGCCTGGTCCTGGTACAGGGATCTCTGGGGGGGAAGCTCTTCATTTAACTTAAAAACAGTACTTTTATATGGAACTAACAGAAGGGAAACCCCACCTTGTCTGATTGTGTGGACTCATGGAACATGCGGGCATCTACAGCAGCAGCCACCAAGTTGTTGGCGGCAGTGATGGCGTGAATGTCTCCAGTAAGATGAAGGTTAAACTAAAATACATAAAAAAAAACAGACATTAATTGCATGCATTGTTGTCCTTGTATTTCTATATTAACAGCGCAGCATCCAACATCAAAACAGCAGCGACGAACTACCTCTTCCATTGGAATGACTTGAGAATATCCGCCTCCTGCAGCACCACCTGTTGGCGAAAGACAAAAACTACAGATGTACCAGTGCAACAGAACTACAGCCTGTTCTCTCTGAATGTACACTCTTCCAAACCTTTAATGCCAAACGTTGGTCCCTGAGAAGGCTGCCGGACGCAGGCGAACACGTTGAGCTTCATGTGGGCTCCCAGGGCCTGAACCAGGCCGATGGTGGTGGTGCTCTTACCCTCGCCCAGGGGAGTGGGTGTAATCCTGCACAGAGAAACTTGTCAGAAATGCAAATATGTGCTCTGACTTATCATAAAGCGCAAAAGATAACAAAGGTCGCCATAGACAGACAGAATCATGTGTGTAACTTAAAAGCAAAGGTTTGATCTTTTTTGACATTTTGCTGGTGTTTTTTTTTGCCAAAAGACCTGCCAGCTATACGTACTGTGATTTAATGTTTTCCTACTCATTGTAAACCACAAAGACAAGCAAGCTGTGGAAATGCTGACAACGCACCCTGTGACGACCACATATTTGCCGTCTGGTTGGGACTGCAGCCGTTTGATAATGTTCAGCTGGACTTTGGCCTTAGTCTTTCCGTACAGCTCCACCTCATCAGAGAACAGGCCGACCTCCTTGGCCAGACGGTCGATGGATTTGGGGACGCAGGAGCGAGAAATCACAATGTCGCTGTTGGAGTTACAAAGAAAAGAGAAATCACTTTTTCATCCGAGGAAAGGAGGACATAGCAAGGTTATTCAGACCACGATGAGGATTAATGGAGGGGGAACCTTGGCACCGGCTTCTGGAGGTTGAGTTTGGTGTAAGAGATGTCCCACTTTCCTGGCTGATAGTTTTCCAGGAAACGCTTTGCACTCAGCACTGTGTTCTAGACAAATGACAAACATGGACGCAATCTTAAATTCCACCTCATTTGAAACCAAACTAATAACTATAAAAGCAGGAAAAATACATTTTATTATTGTTTAGCTGCAATAAAGTTTAAAGTAGTTCAAAGACGAGAACTGTTTCTGTATGAACAATGCGAGGATCAATTGAAAATGTCAGTAAATGACACCAATCTGATAAATACTTGAACATATACAAAGGTATGGGTTCATCAATATCATTTTCAAAGGGCCAAATAACAAGAAATAAGGAGACTGATATGTTTTACCTCTATTTAATTAAAAACAGACCTTTTCAACATGTATCCCTAAGTGTTGATAGGCCATTACTCATATTGTTTAACCAATCAGATGGTGCTGTGGCTGGACCATGGCTTGAGACCAGAGAGAGAGGTGTCTGCACCAGAGGCACATTTTTATAGAGGCCCCTATGCATTCGTACCAAACACTCACTTCATAGTCTATTAACGTGACCCTGTACAGATGAACCTTACCGCCATCAGCATGGCCACAGTCATGGGTCCCACACCACCGGGAACAGGGGTGATGAAACCAGCCTGCTCTTTGGCCGAGGCGTAGTGGACGTCGCCCACCACCCGCTTCCCGCTGGCTTTAGTCTCGTCTGAAAGAGAGATTATTTGGAGGTAAATACCAGAAAACTACCCCTGACTTCTACTAGTTAACCCCAGAGCGAACTCCAAGCAGCACCTGGAATGTGATTGATGCCGCAATCAATGACCACCGCTCCCTTCTTGATCCACTCTCCTTTCACCATCTCTGCCTTTCCAATCCCGACGACCAGGATGTCGGCTTTACCCACCTGCACAGAAACAGAAAATGTAATTAGTGAACGTTTAATGAGGAAGAAAACGGCATTTATCATAATGATGCTCTGATAAGTCAACGGAAAATTTCACATCTGTCGAGCGTTGACATTATTGTTAACGCCACATGATGGTAGCAGAGATCTGTAACTCCTATTATTTCGTCACTAAATAATTGTTTATAGAGTTTCAGGCAAGAACAAGCAGGTCAAACTAGGAGGGGCAACTGGCAGATGAACAAAATATTTTATTGCATTCTTAAGGTAATGAGCTGAAAAAAAAGTGCATAAATAAGTGCACGCATTAGGAACACTGTGCTTGCATCAGTGTGAGACATGCAACAGCTAAAGAGTATGACAGTGAATGTGCTCATATCTAAGACAGTTTTCATACTGTTTTACCTCTCCGGCAAGATCAGCGGTTTTAGAGTGGCAGGTGGTGACGGTGGCGTGGCTCCACAGCAACAGGTCATGCATCGGTGCACCAACGATCTTACTGCGACCAATCACGACCGCCCTCTTACCGGCCACAGACACACCTGCAGAGAATCAATTCACTTAGGTCATGCATTTTCACAGCAGAGACTCCTTTCGCTTCGCTTTAAGGTCAACTGTTGTGTTTACCGGTTTGCCTGATCAGCTCCATGCAGCCGTTGGGCGTGCAGGGGATGAAGCAATCGCCCAGGTCCCCACGAGACAGCTTCCCTGCATTTATGCTGGTCAGCCTGCAGAACGAATCAGAAAACACGGATCATTTTAAGGCATGGTGCTTTAAATCAGTCTAGAAAGGAAGCGAATGGACACAAAAACATAGTCAAATCTGTCATTTAGTTCATGTGTGTTCTCACCCGTCTACGTCCTTCTCTGGGGCCACAGCGTTCGTGACCTTCTCTGTGTCGATCTTGTGGATTGAGTCCAAGGGCAGCTGCACGATGAGGCCGTGGATAGTCGAGTTCTCGTTCACCTCTCTGATACTGTGAAGAACCTGCAGGCACAGAGTCAGCCTTCACGCTCTTTGCTACTTCCAGTTTACCTCCAGTTACTATGTTAACCATACTGCCCCTGTTTGTCAACTTAAATCCCAAACTTCCCACATACGAGGAGTGTCAGAAAAGTTTCAGGACTGGTGTCACAAAAGATATATTTCAAATCCAAACTACAAGTCTTCCCCCTGGAGTCTAACACACTTTCCCTTCTCTGCCACGCCGCCATGCACTCCTGGAGGGATTCTTCCGGGATCCATCGTCACAGCCATCTTGATGTCGTCACGTCTTCAAAACGGGTCCCCTTGATGACCCCCTTGAGCTTGGGGAAGAGGAAAAAAATCCCACAGAGCCAGGTGGGGTGAGTAGGGAGGTTGCTCCAGCACGGCGATGTTCTTCTCAACCAGGAACTGTCGGATGCTCAGGGCGTTGTGAGCAGGCACGTTGTCATGGTGAAGCAGCCACGACTTCCTGCCACAACTCTGCCTCTTCTACTGAACGAAGCAAACACCACAAGATCTCTTTGTAGATGTGCTGGTTGATCGTCTGAAGGGGAAAACTGGTAGTTTGGGTTTGAAATATATCTTTTGTGACACCAGTCCTGGAACTTTTCTGACACACCTTGTATGTTACTGCACTGAAAACCATCTGTCGACTACTAGATGCTGAGTTTAACAACATCTGCAGCAAAGTGTAAGGAATATCTTAAGCACTATGTTTGTGTGTGTACAGATGAATAAAAGACCAAGCTGCACTGATGCTTCTTATCCATTCTCACCTCCTCTTCTGTTGCAGTCTTGGGGAGTCTCATATGTGTTGCATTTATTCCAATCTGCAAACAAAAAGACAGCATTAAGACCGGAAGTAATAACTAATTGAAACAATGTGCAGTACGAACTGTCTGTAAACTCCATGAACATTTTAATAAACGATTATATTTACCTCTGCTGCTGCTTTCAGCTTCATGCTGATGTACAGATTTGAGTCATCGCGATCTCCAACCTACAGGGACACACAGCATCATTTGTGTGAAGGAACAAGTCTTCTTCCTAAATGATTGTGTCCATCTAAAAGAGCCGTTAGTAAATCAAACATTCACACACTGTGTCCATGCAGAAGCACACAACGACACAACGTCAAGGACACGCAAATGACCCAAATCCTTACCTGCCAACCATCTCCAAGGAAAGGCCATGAGAAAGCACATGTCAAAATTAGCCACCAAAAGTATGTTTTCATTCTCATCCACACAGGACGCAACCTTCAACTTACCTGTAAAACCACAAGACCAGGTCTGAAGTTGGGATCCTTAAGTTTCATCTGCTCCACATCCTTCTTCAGACACTCCCTCACCTGCCTGAGAAAACGAGACAACAGAGGAGTTTTTGGTCTCTGTGCAGCAACGGGTGAACTATGTATTCATGCAGCATTACAGTTAGGGAGATTTAGTACGATATGGCCTAACCAACGCTGTTCTTCTAAAATGGTTGCAGATTTTGTATCCAAACACACGCAATCTGACAGTCTGGTTGCGAAACTGGTAATCATCTTCCAATCTGAAGTCATCAACCCTGGCAGCAAAGCCAGAAAGTCACTTTAGGAGAATGCCTCTTTTCTTTGATCATCATCTTATCTTTATTCGTTTAGTGGTTTGGAGACCAGGAAATCTTTCATAATCTTTTTTGTAAAGTCAGCTGAAACAATCAAAGACAACCCAGACTACTACAGTACTAAGTTTACTGGACTTTAGCTTATGGCACTTAAATCTCTTTGTAGATCTGTCGTGTTTGTCTGAACAAAGCTAAATCCTGATTGCACTTCTGTTTCCACATACATACAATCTCTAATCTGCTTTTATTGATCCCATCTACTGTGGATGAAAAAATCCACTCAAAAAGCTCTGAAGATATTCTGAAAACTGTGCTGAATATTCTGACCTATAAAATAGATTTAGAGCTAAACACGGTGTCTTTGTGCGTTACGTGAACTTCAGCAGGAGTGACGATGAAGTCTACAGTGACACAAAGTAGAGACAAAGATTTAAGTGTTTCTCGTAATAATGCGTTTTCAGAAAATACATATTTTTATCCAACTATCCATAAAAGACTTGATCTAACCAGTGGATTATTTAAATACCTGCAATACCCATGAACTCTATCAAGTCCAGGGACATAACAGCTCAGCATTTTTAAAGGATGTTCTGCAGCATTTTAAATAGCATCTTGCAATTAATAATATATAAAATTAACCTAGAAATTTTGCTAATCAGGTGTTGCATTTTACACATGATCTGCACTTTGTGGCCAGGAGAGTAAGCAGGAAGTTCATTTCTATACTTCACAACATCACACTCACAACACACTGAACTATAATAGAAATCCTTATCACAGGGACAGCACATAAAACTTTCTCTGGTCACTAATCAACCAGGCCCACATTCCTATAAACACAGGATGCTCATACAGTACACATTTACTTCACCAGCACAACCATAGGCTTGTCAGGATCCAGAGATAATGACCTTCTACTACAGAGACAGCAGATCTGTGAAGAGACTGCACAGCCTGTTTGAGCTGCACAAAATAATCTGACTAATGAGTGCTGTGAGGTGCAGTTAACAGGGTGCAGGCTGTCGTGTCTTGTGACAGGCACATGCAGCTGAATGTTGTGCACAAAACTTTGAGTTATACTTGCATTTTAGTCCAAGTTTGCAGAATGTGCTCAATTATATAAATGATGTCACATGCAAGACTTTTTTTTTTAAAGTTACTTTGGGAGTTTCAGAGTCTGATGAATGGGATTGTGTCTCCACTTGGGGTCAGTGGACCAACAGGACAAAGATCACATCACAGCTTCTTACATAACACTGAAGGACTTGCAACTGTTTATTCAAAGATCTAAAGCAATCCGTGATGACGAAACTAGAAATATGGCAGTCACATTTAAGTGCATTCAGTGTCAGTACATTTACACCGACCTACATTACAAACAGGAAGCAAACATCTCCTGCAGAAAGACTCCACTAGAACTCATCCCTCGGTTATGCACAGTTAGCATCATGAAGTTTAAGCTAATGTATGAAACCGTGAGTAGCATTACCGTTAGCTGTTAAGTTGCTGTAACTCAGCTAGTTAGCTGCCTAGTTAGCCAGACACGTTTCGTCAGGCTGGTAGCACCTCTTTGGCAATACATATTAGATAAAAAAAAAACAAAATTAAATTCTACTTACGCTGACACATCTTTCCCGCTTATGATCTGAGCTGACATCTTCGGTTTGATTTGAGTCCGTGCCGTAAGATGATGGTGTGTCCTGCACCCTCACTGCCTAACGAGAGAAGGAGCGTGGTGTGGTGACCAGGTGGAGACTACTTCCAAAGTTTATCCCAAAAGAGAGCTGGCGATAAGAACGTAGTGTCCATTCAGAAACCAAGCGCTACCGCAGAAAACCAGCGTATTCACTTTCAGGAATGGCGTCCAACGTAGCGCATCGCTGTAGAGGGGCGGGGCTAACAGCAAAATGTCAATTCTAACAGCCAATCATATGCCTAGGTTAGCATGCTGGCGGAATCCATCGACCAATAGAGTTCCTAGTTGTGCTGCACCGCCCCATTAATTTCAGGAAGTGGGCGGGACGACGTGGGACGTTGTTAGGTTGAGAACCAGCAGAGGGCAGCACTGTATGTACACAACGCGTACGTGAATATCAGCACAAAACCAGCAGCAGTGTTTATAAAGGCCCGTCTTGGCGTCAATTACGGAGTGTTTGGCTCTCAGTGGAAGTGTCAGCGTGTAGATATTCATTAGACGGTGCTGGAAAACACCACAACGCTACTTATTCACCCGGCTTCCAGTCCGACGTGAGACATGAAGAGATACCGAGAGCGATGGAGAGTAGATTCTGTGTTTTGAACGACACCGAAGATCTCCAAACGCGAATTTTAAACACTGAGAACAGTCTCCACTTCGAAAGGTAAGTTCATACCAGGTGCTAATTTGTCAAACTAGTGGGCTTTGGGCTCTAGCTGTTTCCTGGAGGGGCTGTACCCGTCATTGAGGGCTTTGTTATGCATTGCAGGATTATTAACGTGTCTGTGCACAGACATTGTGTACGTTCTTGCTGAAGTGGCCGCCTCTCAAAAGGATTCAAACACTCATCCTCGCCCAATGTCAAACCCTCCTCAGTCTAAATCATCAGGTAACTCATATGCATGTGTCTCTTTAGGTCTAAGACACTGTTTGAGGAAATCCGTGCCTCCATAAACAACAACGACGAAGAGGACCGCTCCTTCTGGAGGCCTGTGCTCCCATGGGGTGGCGTCTTCACCATCAAAGCCGGACGGAAAGCCATATCATGCACACCTCTGTACGTGAAAATCCACCTAAAGAACACCTGCACCATCGATGGCTTCCTCATGATCCTGTATGTGATCCTGCGGGACAACCAGGGCTTTCGCAGGGAGCTGGCAGTCTTCCTGGGCAAGCAGTTTGTGGAGTATTTCCTCTACCTGATGGACTCCTGTGACTACACTACGGTGAAGATGCTGTGGATCTGGGACAGGATGTCCAAGAGACAGTACCGCTCTGAGATCCACCAGGCAGCCCTGGAGATAGACCTGTTTGGCAACGAGCATGAGAACTTCACAGAGAACCTGGAGAACCTCATGTCCACCATGCAGGAGAGCCTGTGCACCAACTGGAGCTGTCCGTCCCGCTTCCAGGATTTCATCAAGACCACCATCAACATCAGGTATGCTGCACACAGCTGGTGTAATATCTTGATGCGACAATGTGAATTTGGTGCAGCTTTTTCCTGTTTTGACCTGTCAAAGTTAGCAGATAGTCTGTGTGACAAGATGGTTACATCAAGATCTGTTTGTCAATTATATTTCACTTTTGTAGGTTGTTAGATGTCTAAAAATATCACATTTTTCCTCCAGTCCTCCCTATGAGCTGCCCCACAGAGACCCAATTCAGTCGGCCGTGGACGAGTTCTTCTGCCCCAAGCTCCTGCTCTGCTCAGAACTGGGGTAAGACACGGGGAGAGTGTTGTTCTATTTCTGTGCTGCGTTATTGTGCTTTCCTTGACAAACTGCACATCTTCCTCGCAGGTGTGATGGCCTACGGGAGTTCTCCCGGAGGGTTTTCTGCCACGGACCCCCACCTTTTGTTATTCTCAACATGCAGCAGTGGAAGTCAGAAGAGCTGTCCTATGTCCCGTACCACCTGGCCCTCTGTCAGCACAGGTAAGAAGCATCCACAGGGTGTTCTTAAAGGTGTGATGTAAAGTAGCACGCTTTAGCCACACAGGGGTGCAAGCTACAATCATATGCATTTCAACTGCACCATTACCACTCCGCCACAGTGCCATGTTTCCAGTAATTAAGCAGATATCAAAACAGTCATAAAAAGGAGTCCAGAAACAATAGTTACAGTCATTATCGTTTTTGGAGATTATGTATACTCCATAGCCAAAAAATGGCAAATATCAGATTGCAGGATTTGATGCACATTACTGAGATGCGTCCTGTTATACTGTTACAGAAAGAATCCTGTCTGCTGTGTGTTATTTTTAAAAGTTGGAGAAGAAAGACACAGCTCAGGCGGAGAAACAGAGTTGGTTGTCTAAGTAGTAAGAGATTAAAGCAGGGTCACTGGCTCCTCATCAGTAAAGGAAACAAAAGCTAACTTTAGAAACACTCCTCAGTTGAAAGAGACAAGATTTAAAAAAGCATAGCTAATTAAAGCTCAACCAGCTATAAAAAAAATACTTTCTGGCTGCAGGGTTTGCGCGAGGAAGTTGTAGCAGATTCTTAATATGTGCTGCAGCAGTAGCAACATTCATTCACATTGTCCCATATTCAGTTTATGTACATGTGAATGTATTTCAATTCACCATCACTGATGCCACATGTAGCCTTAGCTTCTTATGCACCATTGTACCTGGATGAAAGAGGAAAATCTCTTAAAGGAAAATGTTATTTCTTCTCAACAGGTACTTACTAGAGGGCGCCACACTCTTCAACAAAGAGGAACACCACTATTCTGCAGCCTTCCAGATAGATGGCTGCTGGATGCACTACGACGGCCTGAGGAGTGATAATCTGATCCTGTTACACAAGCCTCCAGAGCTCCTGCTGCTGTCCTCTCTGGTCTACATCCGCGCTTCTGACAAGTGAACTTGTTTTGTCACAGGTGGACATACATACAGTACAGACGAGCCGAAGTCACGCCAAGCACAAGAGCGAATGCATTCATCCTTTCTTTGATTATTCTATCATGAACCCTTATTACCGGCATTACATTGGTGTAACTGCATCATTAGAATTTTAATTCATTCCTGCCTTGTGTATGCTTCCGCTGTCAGCTGTTAGACTGAATGACAAACGCTTCGTTTCACTTGAACGCTTGCAGAGAGCTTACTGTGCAAAAATGAAAATTACTTCTTTTTGAGTGTGCTTGGAATCCAAGAATATAATGGACTATATTAGTTCCGGGTTGATATACATAAATGATGCTACCAGTGATCATTTACATGTTATCTTCTATGAAACAGACTGTTAATTGGTTTTGCGGTGGTTGTTAAATGGGTTAAACTGGTGCATTTGCTTTAAAAGTAGCCCTGTGGATGTTTGGAGTGACAGTACATCATATTCGCAGCAGAAGTATACACAGGTCAGCCACAACATTAAAACCACCTGCCTAGAATTGTGCAGGTCTCCCTCATGCTGCCGCAGCAGCTTGGTGTGTCGTATATGGTCGAGTAACATCCATGTGAACACCAAGAGGTTTTCCAGCAGCACATTGTATTATAACGAGTCGATCAGTGTTACTCACTTGTCAGTGGTTTGTAATGTTGTGGCTAATCAGTGTGCAGCCTTTTGTGTTAGTTTCACTTCACATTTATGCATATCAGCCCTTTTAAAATTAAACTGGTGCTTTTCCTATTTACACTGTGGTCTGAGATCAAGAAGCAACCAAACAATGTCAGGATAACATCTTGTTTGTTAAGATGTTTGAACTGGAGGAAAAGCATTTAATACAATAAGTGAACGTTATAATACAAATGATACAAACGCTAACGGCAGCCGAAAGTCTTTTCTGACACTAAATATGACCTATTTGGCTTCCCTGGCACAAAGCACACGGCGTGTCCACGACGACAAAATAAATGCATTTTAACACTTTAGCTTGGCACTCACTGCAGTCTTCGACACATTTATTTTGTAAACGTGTAAAAGAATTACTGTTACTCACACAGTGCCTCTGCCCAGGAAAGTTTGTGAAAGTGAGTGTTGATTAAGATAATTTTTTTATGGCTCTTTTTTCTATGCAGACACCGTCTTTAAAATGCAAATACAGATATTTTGGAATACCCCTGTGTCGATTTCTTTTGTCGTACGTGTACAAGAAGAGATGCAGACAAGCAGACGGTACCTTTTAAGGCAGGCATTTATTTTAAACTGGGTACAACTGCACCACACAAACAGACTAAAATGTATGTAAAATGTCTTCAATCAAACATGATAAAATGTGAAAAGCTACTGTTTTTACACCTAATGTTATCTTGTACTTCCAGTATTAATCCACAGGATATAAAATTCAAGATCATCACCTTACTCCAGACACACAATGGGAAATGTAAAAGAAGCAGAGTGGTCATTTTGGCTAACATTGACATCAGTTTCAAAGGATTTTTTTTTCTCTTTTCTCTCAGACACAAACAAAGTGGCAGCCCATTGCAGACCAGGTGTTAGTCATCCATCTGCTTTCTTTGTACAAGCACTTTGGTGAGAGTGGTGGCAAAACATGACATTGGTTAGGCCATAATAAAAATGCGTACAAACTCAATTTTAACATCCCTTCTTTTTGCAGATTCACGTTTGCAGATTTTCATCAGCCTCTCTCCGAAACTCATTAAAGTAGTAGTTAGTATACACCGCAGAAATCACGACATTGTACATAACAGCGATGCTAGATGGATCATGGCGGCAGCACATAATTACGCCTGCGTGATTTGTGCTGTGGCTGTGGTAAAGTGACTTAAAAAAAAAAAAAAGACGAAGAAATCTCTTACAGGTGACAGAAATTAGGTTACAGAACATAAACAGACAACACAAATTATAAATACAAAAATAGTCCTTCATGTCATTTTAAAATAAAATGACATTTTGCAGAAATACAAATTGGGTTGCTTACTTTGAAAACGAAACAGATTCGAAGGAAAAGTACTCATTGTGATGCAAACAATCCATAACAAACTGAAAGATTCAACGGTGACACCCTGACCGATTTGCAAGGCAAATGTCATTTAAGTTCTGATCTAAGAAGTGAAGCTTAGAGTTGGCAAGAAAAAACGAGAATCTGTGTAGTGTTTACGAGACTAGTGAAAGAACTGCAGAATATTTAAAGGTGTGTACCTCTAATTAAATTGGGAGAAATCCATTTGAATGTGCCTAAATACACATATGCCTTGTACAAATGAACCAGCATGCACAACAAAATGGCAACACAAGATGCCTGGTAGGTTGAGGAGAAGTCAATGGTACCGTGTGATGTTTCATTGGACGTCCACATTACCAGCCAACAGTGTGAATCGACAGACATGCCATGTGGGGTTCTGTTACAGCAATATGAGATGCCTTGGCTTTTCAAAGAGACGAACACAAAACATATACATCCACAGAGGGAACAGAAGTCTTATTGCATTTTCTAAATGCCATTAGCTTAAATCAAAAACATATGTACAAATTACAATATGTATCAAATAGTTTGGTAAGTGCAATGCAGAGCTTGGTTAAAAGTTTCCACTTTATGTGCAAACATCAGTGCACAAAGCAACTCAAACTTGACTAGAACGTGAACAGTAAGACACCACAACCAAGCCTTCTCCTAGTCAAGCGCCCCCTCGACTGTTGTGCATTGCTTGAAGTGTCGTCAGTTGAGCCCAAGGCTGCAGAGTGACGCCCACAGCCAGCCCTGGAGTCACACACACCCATGGGCGCACTCTGATTTCTCTCCCAAGACATGGGACTGGTGACAGTGGCAACTTGGCCTGAGTTGGCTAGCACAGCCCTTGGTGCTTTATCATCCATCTCCATACGACCACATGGAAGAATGTAATGCTGGAATCCTTATCACTAATACATTAGCGATAAGGATGAGGAGAAAATATTTCAACTGTGGCACACGAGGAGAGTTGCCTCTAGAGCTTGCGGTGTAAAAGATGGGAAAAAAAATAATATTTTGGCACTTCACACGAAGCTGTGAACAGATTACTGAAAACCTGAGCTTGCAAGCAAGACCTGGCCACATGAGGATCACATGTTTGGTGGCAGTTTAGCAAGCACATAGAGCAGGTGTCAGAGCCAATCACGGGCAGAAAAAAAAGTCTTGTTCGTAGCCAAAAGAGTGACAGTATACTGGCAACAGACATCGACAAAGCATGCTCATATCCTGCAACAGGACTAATAAGACGGAAGGGAACCGTTAACTAGGATACAGTTTAAATAACAGAAAAGAAAAACATAGTGCTAATCTTCAGGCTTTTGGGAAATGGGAGGATAGGAGTTTGTGGTTGTCCAACCACAGGCTTCCCTTTCAGTAGAACTTTTATTTTATTGCATGGTTAGGGGCCATTTAGATTTTATGCATTTAAATGCACAGAAAGTAAATAACTAACATCTAATGCAACAATGTAGCAGAGGCCAAGCAGAGGTTGACCTAACTGTGTGAGGCAACACAGACAAACAGCTGAATCCTGAATCCTAAATATAGCACCAGTTAGTATTGTGTACAGACCAAAGGGTGAAAAGAGGGCCAAGGTCGATTTCAACTATTGTGAAGAGTAGCAAGTGCATGACCTGACCTTAGAACGATGTAACAGAAGCTAGAACATGGTGATTTTTTTTTTCTTTTTTTTTTTTTTTTAAATGGCTCCGAGGATGAAGCAGAGACTAGTGGCAAACACTCTCAGGAGAATTCGTCATTCACCTCTACAGTGACCCTGGGAATCAAACTACACACGCATTCGCGCAAACACTAGTGACCCAGTGCAGAAAAAACATTTACAGGCAATGCACTAGAGGATATATTCATATCTATATATTTCATTTAGACTATTTACACGAGAGAGAGAGAGAAAGGCAGCCCTTTTTGAGAAAATATAAAGATTCCAACTTTTCTCTTTTTTCAGAAGCACTGATTTGGATGCAGAGCTCTTGCGTCGCTGAGCCCGAGCATCAATTCTGCACGCAGACACGTAACAAAACAAACAGTCCTATCTGACATGCACGTACCCCTTGAGCATACACACGAACATACACGCTACATGGCCAACAACCACATATTCATACAAATACACAAGCAAACTGCGGGTGTTCTACAAAATTTGAACACATAGTTCTGGTTGCAGCAGGGAAACTGAAAAAAAAAACAAAAAAAAAAAACAGGGGATTTCAGTTTTAAACATAATCAATGACATGAAGGAGAACAAAAAAAACAATGTCTGCAAACATGACAGAGAATTTTGAAACATAAGTGACCAGATTTTTCCCACAATCCTCTGGGACATGGCTCAAAGTCCTCGTTGTGGTCCAGCAGCAGTAGAGCGGTCATCTCCGCGTGCCCCGTGACAACAGCTTTCCTAGCGTCTTCCACTCTTGTCCGCTTGACTCTTCCAGCTCTTCCTCATCTCTGAAGCCATGAACGGTGGTCTCCGTCTAGCCGGCTGGCTAGCCCGGCACATCCATCCACCCGGCAAGCTCTCTGGTGTTCACGCAGGTGTGCAGCTATGCTCATCTGCACTTGGAGGATGAATGTGGGGCAGGAGGAGGAGACAACAAAAAAGAAAAGTCTTTGTGTCTAAAGTTCTTTTTATTGGGTCCAAGCTGGATGGGCCATGGGTCAAAGGGCTGTCAGACCAAAGTTACAACGGCAATACATCATGCCGCTTGAGTCCAACCAGCTGTCTGAGATGGGGTCATAGCGCTGGACAGTGTTCAGGTAGGACGACCCGGAGTGACCTCCTACCACGTAGAGGTAGTTGTCCACAATGGCAGAGCCCACACCTGCAAGACAAAGATGCCACGATCAAACACTTCCTGGATGTAATAATTACAAGCGGTTCAAACACCCTCTACTATGTATCCCACAGAAGAGGATTTATCTGTGACACACATTTTGAAGTATGATATAAACTCACCAGTGCGAGGCTCGTTCATTGGCCGGCAAGCTGTCCACTGGTTCTGATGTGGATCATACCTCTCAATGCTGGACAGGTGGGACACTCCGTTGTGTCCCCCCACCACAAATATGAAGCCGAGCATGACGCCAACCCCGAAGTTGATCCTCTTATCTGCCATGGGGGCTACCATTTCCCAGGCATCCTTGCTAGGGTCGTACCGCTCCACGCTGTGCACAGCAGATGCAGCACAATTAGCAAAACACGTGATGGTTTAAAAGGGTTGTTTCACCCAAAATTCACTCACTGGGTTTGATACAGAGCTGTGCAAGTTTGGATTTATGTGCCTTAGTTTTGAAATAATAAATCGATTGCCAAACCATACAGCACCAAAGGTATGTTTACATCGCATTTCCAGTACAGGAGAACCTCCTTTATCTCACATTCACTTCAGCTGAAGCCTGAACAACAACTTCAAGTGTGCGCTTTTCATTTTGCTGGTATATCTGGTCAATCCGCAGGTCAGAGTTCAGCTTTGTTCAGCTTGGATGTACTCAGTCAGATAATGGAAACACTGCTGCACTGTGTTTGTTACGTGTTTGTTTAATTACTATTACCACACAACCAAACCTCTCTCAAATACTGGTTATATTTTGCAGCATCTGTAATCCATATTTATTACCAGCTTGAGAAATATGTCCGTTTTTTTTTTCCTGGGCTGTTTGAGGACAAATCCTGTTAGATGGAAACGTGATGCGATCTTTACTCCCATGTCAAAACAGAAGTAGGGAACTTTACATGCAGCTATCATTTCGCAATATTCCACATAATTGCACCAACGTTTTTGTCATAAACATTCCCTTCAAGCTACAGTCAAGAAAAAGTTCATTTCAGATCACACATGGAACTGGTTACGAGGCTGTAGCGAATTACAGAGTGTGGCCAAAGTCAAATTAAATCTCTATAAGACACTGGAACACTGGCAAACAGAGTGTTTTGCAGTAAGCAAGGACATACAAGCCATGGGGGAAAAGAAGAAAGAAAAAAAAAAAAAAGACAGTCCCCAAAGATTCTCTGTCCAAACACATTCTCCTGAGGGGATCGGGGCGTCAAGGAAACAAGCAACAGGGACACTGCTCTCTAGTGATCCACAGCAACACAGCAGCACACAGGCAGGCACGGTCTCAATGAAACATCAGCAAGCACTTCTGTTGTGACTCGTCTTCACTCATTAACAGGGCCCTGGCCATTTTCTCAGCAACACTTGATATGCTTCACTTGATTGCCAGTTCTATTAAATAACTAGCAAGACCTTGAGAGAGAGAGAGAGAGAGAGAGAGAGAGCCTGGGTAGGAAGTCTAAAAGGGGTAGAAGCTTATCAGAGGGATCAAAGACTATTTTTAAAATTAAAAGGAGCGGTACGGTGCCACAGCGTCACGTTGCTGATGTTAAGTTGTAGGAACAAAAATAAGTGTAGTTGTATGTTTTTTATCTTATTTGGCTTCCTGTGTGCGTATTCTCATTATAGAAACGTCAATAGCAGAAGTTGCAGCCAAAGTAACAGAGTCCTACTAAAAGAAAAAATAACGAAATCACCACAGCAGGTAATATTCTGAATAAAAAACAATGCTTAACCTAATTTAAAATCCATCTGTCACTTCCTTACAGCAGGTAACACGCATTTCAATGACAAAACAACAACCATGAAAACAACTCTGAGGTGCGTTACCTGTTCATATGTGCTGGGCCGTAGCCTCCAATAGCGTACACCATGCCGTCCAGCACAGCTGTGGCAAAGCAGCTGCGGGACTTCGTCATGGGCGCCACCGGTTGCCACTCCTTCAACTTAGGGACGTACTTCTCCACTGACTGGAGGTAATACTGGCCGTCATAGCCTCCCAGGGCGTACAGCTCTCCAGCCAGGACCACCACCCCGAGCGTGCTGCGGCACTCGGCCATACGCTCCACCGAAGACCACGTGTTGCTTTCAGGGTCCCAGCTCTCTACCGTGCTCTCGTGTCTCCGATAGCTAATGCCCTGTCTCATGTGTGTGGCGATGCCTCCCACCACGTATACTTTGTGGTCCAGCACCGCCACGCCAAACTCATATCGGGGTACACTGAGGGGGGCCAGTCCTATCCACGAGTCCGTCTGAGGGAAATACATTTCCATGCTGAAAGAAAACAGCAAACACAGTAAGTTAATTCATTTCGCCTTCCCACAAGTGCATACCATCATTACATACACATTCATTTCATTACCTTTCCAATGTGGCAAACAATCCAGCCTTGCCTCCGACTGCAAGCAGCACTTTAGGGGCACACCTGGGCCGCGCCGACAACACAGTCTGATAGGACAGCCGGTGTTCAGGCATAAAATGATATTTGAGAGCCTCATTGAGCAGGTGTTTGCATGCGTGGTCATCTCGTATAAGGTGGTTGGCTTCATATAGGCGAGTGAGGAATTTGACGCTGAGGAGTGGAAGGCGAACACAGTGCAGCAGCTGAGCCAGATGCTGCTGTCTCTCAGTTACATCATATTTGATCCACGACTCCAGGGCGTAAAATACAGTCTCCTCTGTAACCACCTTAAGGCAGTCATTGGACACAATTTCATCCAACTCCGCCCTCGTCAGTTCAAAAAACTCCTCCGTCTGACAGACTTCCTCAAAGTTCTCACAGATGAACTTAGTTGCAGCCAGGCACAGGTCATGACAGCCATAAGTCTCTGCAAAGCGGGAGATGCCTATACAGTTTCCGGCGTCCAGCTGGCTCTCTAAGAAGGAGCAGCACTCCTTAAGTACTAGCTTAACCTGGAGTAAGTTGGCAGCTGGTAGCAGAGACTCCACCGTTTCCTGGGAGATAAACACCGTGCCAGTGTAAGCATACTCAACGATGGCCTGGAAAAAGAAAGAGTAAAAGTGTCACACACAAAAAAAACACGTCACAGCAGCTAATCGGTGCAGCTAGTGTCTGGTTGCTCTAACCGTACCTGCAAGGCCGTCTCGTCGATACACTGGAATTCCACCTCAGAAGTCTCCTTTTCCGAAAGGTTACCCGTAAACATGGCCTTGAAGTAGGGACTGATGCTGGCCAGCACTACTTTGTGGGCATGGATCTTGGCATCACCCACACGCAGGACAATGTCACATAGTTCGTGATCCTGCCGCAAGAGCTGGAGGCCTTGCAGCAGCTGCTCAGAATGAGGCCGTGTCAGACTTGCAAACATATAGGACTGGTCCTGCTGGTCCATCTGAGAGCAGGAAGCCACACATCAGCAATGTTGACATTTTGTAAGGCAAGTCAGTTAAATCTTCTAAATCAGCTTAGATATGGCCAACAACCGGTAGGGATACTGTCAATTCTTTAAACATATTCAAGTGTGATGTTGGCCCTGAGACTACAAGCCTGGACAGTGAACTACACATACACATGGGCCTGTGCAATATGACGTAATTACAGCAGGCGTTATGTAAACATGCCGGGACTGTATGATGCGTTCAGGGATGTTTTGAAGTGATACAGTAGTTATTTCCACCCGTTCAGTTGGAGGTGCGCTGCGAGGCAAGCTAAAGGAGCATGATCTTCTTAATCCAATGCTAACGCCACTTTAAGTCAACCAAACGCATTAGCCACAAAGTACGCTAATTTCTAGGTTGACCTAAAACAAACCGACTAAATATAAATCCATTGACGCTTAATGACACCGAGTCCGAGCAACGCTGTCGGTTTGTTGACTGGGGCCTCGGCTTGATTTTTGAACGGAGGACATGGCCAGATCAAAAACTCGCTAGCTACCTCTTAGCTCCCAATAAGCAGACAGCTAATACGCTAGCCAACACACTGTAAAAACCCACCAACAGCTTGGCTAATGCAGAAACATTTTTTTTTACATTTCTGCACGGATATCACATTTAAAACATTCGTGTCAATACTGTATCGTCCACAATGTCGGACAAATCCACGGGGTTTATATTTGTGTTCCGCTGCGCTGCAGTCAGCGCAGGTTAGCTGCTAAAAATAAACACGGTTCCTGTGGCTAGCTGCATCATTGATTGATATACAGTAACATGGCTGACAGATACAAAACGTGACGTTATAGCTAGCTCTCGGGCAGCGGTTTACATCGTCAAATGCAAGGAAACGAACCTGTAATTTGTAGTCCGTCTGTTGCGCCGCTGTAACGACCGATTCTGCAGTGGCGGAGTTCAGCGGCGACGAGTGGGAACCCCGGGCGGCTACCAAGAAAACAACCTGAACCTACTGCCAACCAACCAGCCTTAGCCACAAAGCTACAGACGGCTCTTATACTAACGAGCGACCAGGACAGCACACCCACTTCAGCTGATTTCAAAATAAAAGGGCTATTTACGAGGAAGAGCCACGTTCACGTCTGCCAGCGACAAACCAGTAACACATGTTGTCATGACAGGGATTTCACTTTTTTTTTTTTTTTCTTTTTTAAAGGAAATAGGAAAACTATCCTACACACCATCCATTTTTGATAACAACAAAGCATGCACGCCAGTATTACAAAGCGGGTGGTTTTAGCAACATACAGATATATAATAAAATGAAATTATACAAGAAAATAAGAATATACCCTCTACTTGCAAAAAATAAAAATCTCAATGAACACCTTATCATTGAGCATACAACACTTAAAATGATAGATTAGGACTTTTTTGTTATTTGTCATATATCACACGTAGGAATGTTGTGTTCATGTAACTCAGGTTTTGACAGTGTCATATATTGATATATATGGATTGGGTTAAATTAACGCATTCATTTTTAACCAGCATTTTTATTCTTATCTTATTTATTTATTTTTGCTGTTGTTATTGTTGATGAATGGTCCAGGTGGCGCTACTTTAATACTTTTTAAATGTTGACACTTGAAAAACTTTAAATTTTGTGTGGTGGAGTAAAAAGTACAATATTTGCCTCAGAAAAAAACAGACTTGAAATTACAGGATTAGGACTTTCTGTTTGTTATATCACATATGACAACGTAGTAGTGTGTAAACATTGACAGTGTTTAATATTTATTTATACATATTGCATTAAATTAATCCAATGAATTTTATCTATAAATATGTATATGCATGCCATAAATTACTAAATTGTATTGTATATATAATTAAATAAAAACGACAAAAAATAATATATAGAGATAGATATATTATTTTTATTGTCTTTATTTCATTGTATTTTATTTTATGCACTAATTGACATTATTTGACACTTTGATTTATTTATTTTGCTCATTTTATTTATTTCGTGTGTGTTTTATTCTTTATTCTTCTTCTTAATATTGTTTCGGTCTGGAACTAGTGCATAATGCATTTCACTGCGCCTTATACTATGCATAGTTGTGCTTGTGACAAATAAAGGCTTTGAATCCTTGAATCCTTGATAGTTGAGTACAATATTTTCCGCAATAAAAATGTGAGTGAACAACTCTCTATACAGCTGCATAAATACATATACCTAAATATGTATACATAGTTAAATCAGTAAATGCAGTTTCTTTAATTTTTCCTTGGATTGTTGAAATCTATTTGACATGATTAACTGATAAGAGTGTGAACCTCATTTAGGTGCAACCTCGAATACTAATTTGTCAGACATCATTGTAGCAGTAACGACTTTTTTCAACATTAAATTCTGCACAAAAACATATTTTGTTTTCTTTTTCCAAATATTATATTTTTGGGGTAGAATTGTATTACTTGAAATATATATATTATGAGCTTTATAATATATTTTTCCATGCTTGTGTGGTGTGAATGTGCCCAGTCCAGACTCAGAACATGTTCCTTGAAGCGCTGTTTGTTTGATCCGCTCCGTCTGCGGCTCTGAGACGATGATGCCGCCTGGAGGAGCCTGGAGCTCGCGTCACCATGGAAGCGCTCAGTTTGCGACATGTATTCGCCATTTTGCTGCCTCGGTGTGTGTGTGTGTTGGTGTGTGTGTGAGAGTGTGTGTGTGGGCTCCTCTCGAGGTGAATACCTTTGTAGCTTCCAAACATTCAACACTCCAGACGCCTGCTAAAACAACATGGGAAATATCTGCACTCGGAGAACCGTAGCCGCCGCCGCCGCAGCAGCATGACAGGGGCATTTGGACGACGTAACAGTAGATAGTTTCGCTCGGCGTTACCGAAGAGGAGCGAGGAAAATGAAAGGTCTGTTTTCTTGGTGGTTTTTCTAACTTTGCTAGCCCAGTCAGCCAAGCACCTACGGCGGTCGAAACGAGCGGAGGAGCGAGTTAGCTTAGCACCGTTTCAGCGGCGTTGCGGTTAGCTAAGATTCCGTGTAGCCACACTAACTAATTAGGCTGCTTAACGGTAACGGGGTAGTCGAGGATTGATTGTAAGCCCATTGCAGGCATTACTTAGTAGCATATAACTAGCTAAAGCTCAATTCGAGACACCTCACAGTGTTAGAATAGCAGGGAATAATGTAACGTGCAACAGTCAATGTTATCTCAATCCTCCTGCTCGTAACTAACGTTCCTGAGAGCCACAAGTGGTTGAGTTCATTCGCCCTCATCAGCCGTATCTCGGTGATCCATCGTGGTGCGATAACACTCTCTCTCTGTTAAACGAGGCTTTTTCCTGTCAGATGTTTTGATATATTATCCCAGAGGCCTCTTATACATGTGTCCACCATTCATTTTTTGTCTATTTTGCGTTCACAGCTTGACAAACAGGACAGTGGCTTCCCATCACCAACCACTCAGGATGAGAGCACGAAGTAAAGAGGAGGAACACTGTTGTCCTCACAGGATTGTATTTGCTTCCTTGGATTCTCAAATCTGACCACATCCTCAAGACCACCAATAATGATACCTGGATTGATCACCCAGGAGTTACACGAGCAGCTTCTGGACCTGAAGAATTACCAGAACCGCACAAATGGGGTTGAAGAGCTCAAACGGATCCTCTCAGATGTGGACATTAGATCGGTCCCGTCTGGTAGCGTTGAGGAGTTCATCAACTTTCTTCCTCGCCTTCTGGATGACAGTAATTTTAAGGTGTTGTACGGCACCTTGCAAGTTTTAAATCTACTCATTCAGAAGCTAGATACGGGTGTAGACAAATACTTCAAACATATTGTCCTAGTGGCCCTCAAGGCCCTAGGGGACACTCGCACTGTCACCAGGAACGAGTACCTGAATGTGTTTCGACAGCTAATGAAATCTGTTGCACCCCAGCAAGTATTAGATCTTGTAATTGGCAACTTGAAACACAAGAATTCTAGGGTTCGGGAGGACGTCCTTAATGTCATAATGGCAGCTATGCTCACTCATCCAAGGAAAGATTTCAACATCCCGAGGCTTTGTTTTGAGGTTGCACCGTACCTGGTGGACAGCAAAAGGAAGGTCCGTCACGCTGCCCTTGAGTTGTTTGCTGTCTTTGACTATTGCCTTGACACAGGGAAAAAGCAGCCTCTGATGAAAGCAGTGGACATGGTGGAGCTCAACGAAGACGCAGAGGGTCTGATGGCAGCTGTACAGGCAAGGCGAGCAAGACACGTCCTTCCAAAGCTCTCCTCGGAGGGAGTAGTGGAGTATGGCTTGGTGATGCCCAAACCGGGACAGAGGAGCTCGCTGCAGTGCGGCTCTGGAGCTGATCTGGACTGGGTGATGAACGGTGGGCGGATAAGCAGCGCTAGGAGCCACAGAACTGAGCCGGACTGTGACCGATTGTATGGCTATGGCAGCTTAGGCTCCCTCACTGATGACCTTCCACTTCAGAGGAGGATTGTCAGCGCAGGTAAAGGGAAGAACAAACTACCGTGGGAGATGTCGAGCTTCTCGTCCACTGAGAACGACCAGCAGCAATGCAGCTCACCTAATGGGAAGTGCTCGGAACAGGTGGGGCCCATCGTCTCTGGCTACTTGCCATGTCTTTGCACATCTCTCATAATAATTAAGCCATTTTGATTTCGTTTTACATTCCTTGATTCATTGGTAAAATAAGACATCCAGCTCAGAAGAACGCTCTGCTTTACTGTGGGTTACTTTACCTAAATGCAGATGGAAATTTTACCCTTTTGCTTGTCTTTGATTGACATTAATGAGGCAGATATTGATTCAAAAGAATGTGTTTTCCTTTTTTTTTTTGTTTTTTTTCAGGAGCTTCAAAAGCATGCTTTGAAATCTTGAGCAATTAGGGCTTAATTAGTCCGCTGTTGACTGCTTGTTCAGAGGTTTTAGGAACATCAGAATGTTTTTCATGTTTCCTTCAGAATTACTAAGCACCTCAGCGGCCAGACAGTTACGTTGATTTGCCCCCAATCAGTCAACAAGTGCAGTAATTGCTAAGAGCATGAAAGGAGAGGGTTATTTGTACCCTTGTTCTTCCTCCTTTTCGTCTAGCTTGGTTCACAAAGAAATAATGAAGATACCCTTGGTAAACCTTGATTCATGATAACAGATCTGGGGCCTTGCCGATGTTTCTGTCGTAAGAATTTTTTATTTTTTTTTTGTTTAACCAAGGTGAGTCACACCCTAAAGCAGCAGTCCAAAAGAGACTTACGAAATCTTAGCAGTGGCATTTTCCTCAGAGACAATTTGAGGGAGGAAACCTAAATATAGTTATCTCTCTCATGATGCAGTATGGATAGAGAGCAGCAGGGAGGGAGGGTTGTATCATACACATAGTTGGCTTGTACATATGATTCTCACTTCTTTTTTTGGAACATAGATTGCAAAGACTGTCTGTAATGCCTGGTTAGACTATTTAAAGAAACATTTTTTAAATCTGGGTAACAACAGATTTGTATAATTGAATATGTGGCTCTCAGTGCTTTATAAACAGTGGGATACAGAGAGAGGAACACAGATAAACTCTCAGAGCGCTCATCACCGACACTACTCCCTGAAGAAACACAGCAGATGACTCATTTTCCTGCACAGTGGCACCGTTACTGCAGCAATAAGCATCCACTATTTTGAGAATAAGTGCTGTGAAAATCACGGGCAACCTGCCAAATTGTTTGCTTAAAGGAAGCAATGTGGGACGTGTACTGTATTATATTTTATGAGCTAACAAACTAGAACGGTTTGTGAAACATAGCGACTGTTAACTTTATTCCAACCGTATCCACTTTTTGTGATAAGTGGCTTTGTTTTACGAGGTATGAACTGACTATTTTGTTCTGGGAACTATTATCAAGCTTAGAAACCTCCATTTGAAAAACCTTGTGTTTACAG